GTGCAACTGCTCAGACCTGGTTACTAGTGCAACAGGGGGGCAGGATGACATTATGTGGCTGCATATAGGTCTTTTGGCAGGAACAGGCAGGAATGGTTTTGTGAATGTGTTACACATGAGTATTTGTGGTTGGGAAGGTTCGCCACTGCTGCAGTAAATTTAGGCTTTCATCCTGGTTTGATGGCATTCCAAATCCTAGACACAGGATGGTGTGGTGTATTTATATTAAATTACAATTATTTATTATATCTTCAGGCCTGGATTTGGATTGTAAAATTGGCTTTGCTAAGAAATGTAGTTTAATAACTTTTAATTCATGATTTGACAAAGGTGAAGTTGCTTTTTCCCACACAGCCAGATCAGTTTAAAAGCTCTTTTTGCTTTACTTTATTGAATAAAGCAGGATATAAATAATGTATTTAACATATATTTAGTTTATCCCTGTCTTATATTCAGATTTGATTAATGTTCTGAAACACATGTGATAAAAAGCAATCCTAGAAACACTGTTAGGTGCCTAAACTCAATCAGTTAATAACAGAAGTTCTTTACACTATGGAGCATCTGATGATGGACTGACCTTGGTTGTTGAAGTCTTTGTTAAGAGGGTTATGTTTTGTTTTTGTTGTTTGTTTTTTTTTCTATAGGATGCTGATAGCATCTAATAAGATTCAGAGACTTGATGCAAGCATATGGAATAACATTTAGGCTATTACTGTTTGAAATTAACTCCAAAATGAGATCCAAATTTCTTTTTCTCTTTATAGTTAAATGTATTTTCTTATAAAACAATTGTAATCCTAAAAATAAATTTACATTGCAACTTTTTATGCAGTTGTGTCATATTCAAACGATTCTAAAAGTTCATGGGTACTCTGGAATATTGCGTTACTCTTCAAAGAAACTGTACACACTTTAGCTTCAGGACTGTTGACAGATGATACATTCTCAGCTATGTATTCAGTCCTTGTCATTCAGCTTGATTTATATCTTTATTTTTGAGTGGATGACTCACAAAGCCTGCAGGGTGACCTTATTTCATCACAAATTTTTTCCCCGCTGTATTTCTGTTGCTTCCCTTTGGTTTGTTATTTCCTTCCTTTGCCCAACAGAGTTAAGTTGGACTGATTAAATAAATCTTATCTGCGAATGTTGCAGAAGTTGTTGCCACTGCTTCAAAATGAACAAGCTGCTGTACAGCATGAGCCCATCTGTCAGGCATGTGAGAGAGGGGCAGAAGTAGCTTCTAAAATGCCTCAAAAGTTCCCATAGGAGGCCTTGTCACTGTGCTGTGGTGTCCTGTATCAGAAGGGTGAGAGGTTGCTTATCACACCATTAAACTCATTGGCCCTTTTAATTATTTACTCTCCTCACGCACCGACTTCATCCGCTTTTCTCCGCTCTCCTCTGTCCTGTGTGGGTCTCCGACTAAAAGCGCTCATGTCCACTGTTTCATCTTTTCTATACGTCCTTCATTTGTCTTCCCTCCCTCTCCTTTGTTCTTTCTGGCAATGGGAGCTGTAAACACTCCTGCATATGCCTCCACATTTACATCCATTGCTGTCACTCAGGTTTAAGGCTTGAAATCTTGCCTCCCGCTACAAGTGTAGAGTTCTTTTTCTTTCGGGAATGTGCAGTATTTGTGACGTGGTAAAATGACAGCCGTATAGTAAGCCACCTAAAGTATCTTTTATCACAATATTTATGTTCTATGTTTTCAGAGGCTTCTGAGGGTGAGTTTGACAACCATGTCATCTTGAGGGAAGTCAAATGAATATGGATTGGATTTGATGTGGCTTTGTTTTATGAGTGATTAAAACCAAGCCTGAGAGTGTTTATCAGGCACTACTAATGGTTTGATTCCTAATTTAAAGTGTGGAGACTGGCTTTGGGCAAAGCCATTAATGCGCAGCATTTGCATTCATTGCATTCACAAATCTTATTTTCTCAGGAAATTGATACTATTCAAAACTTTACTGCCTTTGCATTGGATGATTTAAAGCAATTCATTTGTTAGTTTGTTGCTGGTTCTTCACAGTCAGATTGCTTAAGAGTGGTTTGACTGCTCAGTCACATCCATATATAAAGGCTATTACAGCGAAGTGCATTTTTTTAATTGAACAGAATTGAATTTGCAAAAATGAGCTGCACCATCAGCCTCCTAAAAAACAAACTAAACAGTTTTCCTAATGGAGTGTGGAAGGAGAAGAACATAAATTTATGCATGGTTTTAAAATATAGGCATTTTGTCAGATATATGTTTATTTATTAGCGTTACTAAGAAAGGTAAAGAACACATAGAAACTCTACTTATGAGAACACAAGTCAATATTTAATTGGACTGCATCAGATTCTGTCAGTGTTTCTTAAGGACATGTGTTTTATTTGATTACCTTTTTATACCGTGCTTAGAAGTAAATACACTATATAAAAACTTAAAAGATAAGCTTGTCTGCACTACTTATAGCTCATACCATTGTAGGACAGACAATACTATTAAAGGGATTGTTCAGGATGTTTAAAGTAGGGTTCCAATAAAAGATCATAAGAACTTAATCCCATCTTTCCATTAATGGTCAAAGCTCCATGAGGCTCTGCAGGTCTCCACTCCCCACAGTTGTTTTTTTTTTACTGATGCCCTGACAATTGGAGTTCTGACCTAAAAGACACACCTCCAGCATCCTTCAATCTCAGCAAGAGATCACAGATGGAGCTATTTTGGAAACACTTTTTTTTCCAGCACCATTGCCCAAGCTTTTTGAGTTTTTTTTGTTTTGTTTCTTTTTTGTTGTTACATGTGTTTCTGGGGATGTATGTATATGCATCTCAGCAGCTGATTTTCTATGTGAACAGTTCATGTTAGATACAGTGTGGCCCACTTGCATGATTTTCAGAAAGCTCACTTACTTTCTTTTCTATTTAAGCCTTCAGGCATGATTTATGCTTTGTTAAAAGTGAATTGATGTTCTTGAACTTTCTCAAACCTAGAAGGACTAAAGCCTGACCCAATTGAGCGTGTAGTAAGAGTTGTTACAACTGTTTCTTGGTTTGATTTGAGCTTACAAAATATGACATAAGACCAAACTTGCAAAGTAAAATAAACATTCACCTGCCCAATAAGCATTGGTTAGACCTGGTCTGACATGGCTATTATAGTGTTGTCACTATAATGTTTTTTTAGCCTTTTCTCTTATTGCAGTGTGCAATCGTTTTATCGGCTTATCATTCCTAAAGCTACCTCCCCAAACATTTTCTTTCTTTCTTTTTTTTTATTCCTGTCTGGCAATGTGGCAATAACAATAATTGTCTTGATGCAAAAAGAGCCAAACAGATTTTACTTTCACAAGTGGAGCAATATGGCAATTGCCATATTGCTCAAATTGTGAAACTAAATATTATAATTATGCATGGAGTTTTACAGTTTATATGGACACTGCAATGTAAATAGAACAGAAGAGGAAAAACAGAAGAAAAATAAAAAAAAGAGAAAAGATGAAAGAAAGAGGAGATAGAAAGGTGACAATGACAAAACATTTTTAGTCTGCTTCTTCACCTGCAACGAGATGTAAAAAGAACATCACAACCGAAAGATTTGGATTTGCCGAAAGATTAGCCATTTGTTTTACAGTACATAGCCAAATACTAATTAAAACAGTCAACTACAGTATATTTTTTGAATAAATAAATATATGTGAAAAATATATCAGCTTTAACTTTATTGGCACCTTTAATTTCCAGATAGTTCAATCTGATGTGTGCCACTAAGATACTCTAATTCGAGAGCAGTAGTGAAACTTTGAGTCTGTAGATACAGTAGGGCTGTACAGGTGCGAATTGAAGAGGAACACTGTACAAATGTTGGGATGGTACAGTAAGGTATGGATAGAGGGGAAGGAAAGACTGGTCTTTGGGAAGAGTTCAATAAGGTGACCGCTGTAGGAAAGAAGTGGTTTCTGAATCTGCTTGTGTTGGTCTGCAAACTGCGTAAATGGTAGAGCCTGGGGGAGGAACAGAAAAGAGTATGGCCTGATGAGAGGAGTCTGAGAAAATCTTACATGCCTGGTGCTGGCATCTCTTCTTGTGGACATCCTGTGATTGCCTGTCAGCAGTTCCCTATCAGCTTAGTGCTTTTTTAAGGTTCACATTCAGTTCTCAAAAATTAAATGTTGAACATGGGTCAATACTCATTAAAACCTTAAAGTAATCAAAAAGTAATCAAAAGTAATTAGTTACATTACTTTTTAAAAGTAATCGAAAAAGTTACACTACAATTACAATTTAAACAAGGTAACTTGTAACTGTAACGGATTACATTTTTTAAGTAACTTACCCAACACTGTTCATATCCAATTATTTCTAAGGGTGACAGCTAGTTTACTGAAGCGGAATTCTTCCTGTCTTCAAAAATCCAAATTTTTAAAATGAAAATATGACAAAGACCAATGAACCTAACTAGCTTTTAAATTTACAGTATATTAGATTATATTGTTAACAAGGGTAAAAGAAGGATAATGCAAATACTTTTTTATATACATATTTGTGATGTAACCTCGTAACCTTTAATTTTGTTTTACTTTAGTGGATTGTTGCACTGTCAAATTATCTAGGTATGAATTTTAGGATTAGCCATTTAACAAATTAATCTATTGATTATTTGTAAATCATTGGGAAGCAAAAGGTGCTGTATAGGAGATTTCTCACGGCTTTCAGTTGGGTTTAACTAAAAGTAGAAAAATTGAAATAAAGAGCATTCACTGATAAATAAGACTTATCTTTGGGGAAAACTAACTGTTTTTTAGATATATATATATATATTTGGCTTAGTTATTATTCTGAGTTCATTCTTTTAGCAAATGGCATGTTTTAGAGTCTTTGTGCTTTCTGAATGGTTTACTGCATTCGTTGACATTTAATTCAATAATTGATTAAACCCTATCTATCAGATTAATTGTTTTAAGCAATAAAAACATTCATGTTTTTTTGTTTTTTTCTTTTACTAGTGGCACCTGCCATGAAATTAAATGCACGTGGAGTTACAGATCGTACTATTGAGCTGGAGTGGGAAGGGTCCATGATGGTGACAGATTTCTTGGTGACTTACACACCGAGCATCCCTGGAGGTATGGATAGATCTGTCTTGATCTAGAAACAAAAGCATTTCCATTGTCTGTTTTGTCATTGTGCCTTAAAAAGCACAACAGAGAATAACATTGCATCACTTTGTTCTTTCCTTTTGTTCCCTTTTGTTAGGTGTGCAACTAGAAATAAGGCTCCCAGGAAACACAACATCTTGGATTATTACAGGTCTAGAAGCAGGCATTGAGTACAACATCAATGTGTTTGCTGTCATCAACAACTCAATCAGCATTCCCTCTAGTATTACTGTTTGGACGTGTAAGTGTGGTGCTTGCTTTATTTATGTTCCTTTTTAAAGCTTCACTGGGCAGTTGCTGCAGTCTACACTTTAATCCAAGACAAAATAGCACTTTTAATTATTTTGTAGAGGTTTTCCATCAATAGGTTCTGACAGCATTGCATCAGTTGAGGTACTGCATTTGCACCTGCCTTTTTTCCTTAAAGAAACTGTTTCCAATTTGTTAAAAATCACAAGCTTCTTGTTTATGCTGTATGGTTGTGATATGACCTGTAAAGATTTCTCAGTGTCTCACACACAGTGCCAGGTTTTAATGGTAAGCAGGCAGATTTCCACACCAGGCACACTAGTTGTTTTTTTATGCTTACCAAGAGTGCAGACTTATCAAATCCCTAAGTAAGTAAATAAATAACTTTTTCATTATTACAGCTGATTGGTGGCTGCATAATCATATTTCTGTTCATCCCATCGGAACAGCTAAAGTCATCCTCAATTTCACATATAAGGGAATTCAATTTCATTTTATAGTCAAATTTTGAGTAATAAATTCAATTTATTATATTTAAATTTGATAGAACCATTTTTATTTGAGAATTGAGATATTTTAGGCGATTGTCTTGAAATAACATTATAAAACTGAGAAATAAAACTATCCATAAAAATGTTTATGAACATATTTGTTGCTGAAGAGGAATTTTAGTGTCTTCCAGTTATAAAATGGGCTTTTGAGTAATGACTATATTTATGTCCAATGAAGCCATGTTGCAGAAAATCATTATACAATAAAAAATAATGTTTCAGTCTGTAGAAAGTAAATACTCCACCTTCCAAAGTATCTGTGCCCCTGGAATCTTTTTTACGTTTTCTTACATTAATATCACAGACCTTAATATATTTCCCTTGAAATTCATGTGACAGACCCATAAACACTAAGCTATAAATTTTTATCTATAAATTTAGGTTTGCAATAAATTTTCCCACTTAAGTAGTAAAGCTTTACGGTCTACTATCACCTTAAGAAATCCCCTTGTAAATTATAGTCCTTTGGTATACAATTTTGAAAACTATGAATTATGAAAACCTATGAAATATTTGGGGTTAAAACATATTGTCAGTTTTGAGCATCTTACAGTTCACTGTTCAAGTCAGTTTAAAAATATGGAGCCGATGATAAAACTCTAAACTTAACTTAGTCATCCACATAAATGGGGTGACCCCGGATATGTAAGGCTAGAATCTTTCGTAGAACTCCAGTGTCCATTGCAACGTCGGGAGCTGCAGAGAATGCCTTGTGTACTTAAAAAATCTGGCCATTGTAGATTGACAAGCTTTTTATTTTCTTTTAAAGAAATGAAAAAAGAAAAAAAAAATGCATACTGTATATATATA